CGGAGGAGGATGAGGAGGAGGATGAGGAAGCTGATGATGATGATTGAGGATGGATGAGGAGGTAGGAGGAGGAGGAGGAGCAGAGGGTGATAAGAGGCGGAGGAGGATGATGAGGAATGAGGATGAGGGGATGAGGCGGAGGAGGAAGGAGGAATGAGATGAGGAAGCTGTTGAGGAGGAGGCTCGAGGAATGATGAGGAGTGTGACGAGTGGAGGAGGAGGCCGGAGAGAGGAGGAGGCAGGATTAGGAGGAGGAGGCGGAGGAGGGAGGAAAGTAGAAGGAGAGGTGGAGGATGTAAGGAGGAGGCGGTCAAGAGTGAGGACAGGAGTAGGATTGAGGAGGAAGAGGAGGAAGGAGGTGAGGAGGAGGAGGAGTCAATGAGGATGACAGGGAGGAGAGGAGGAGGATGATCAGAAGTGAGTAGGAAGAGGAGGACGATGAGGAATATGAGGAGGGGGAGGAGGATGATGACGACGAGGAGGAGGACGGGATGAGGAGGATGAGGAGGAGGAGGAGGAGGAAGACGAAGACGCGGAGGGGGATGATGCTGATGATGAGGAGGATGAGGAGGATGAGGAGGAAGAGGAGTCGGCGGAAGAGGAGGAGGAGGAAGAGGATGAGGACTAGGAGGGGGACGAACACGAGGCGGAGGAGGACGCGGGAGGAAGCGGGATGAAGTCGGAGCAAGAGGATGATGATGCTGATGATGATGCTGATGATGATGCTGATGATGATGATGTTGATGATGATGATGCTGATGATGATGATGATGATGATGATGATGATGATGATGATGGTGATGATGATTAGGAGGAGGGGGAGGAGGCAGATGAGGGCGGGACGGACACGGAACACCACATCAGGAGATGCGGGGGCGCAAACAGAGGATCATGCTGAGGCTGATGATGATGGTGATGATGGTGAGGAGGAGGAGGTGGAGGAGGAGGAGGATGGGGGGACGGAGGAGGAGGTGAAGGGAGATGCGCGGAATGGCGATGAGGACTATGCGGTTCAGGCGCAGGAGGCCGAGGAGGAGGAGGAGGAACGGGACATGCCGATCACGAGGACGAGGAACAGACGCAGGAGGAGGGGGGGGGAGGCGGAGGAGGAGGCAGAGGAACGGTGGAGGCGAAGGAGGAATAGGGGATGGGTTCTGATGATGCTGCTGATGATGCTGATGGCGATCATGATGAGGCTGCTGTTGCTGCTGCTGCTGCTGCTGATGATGATGATGATGATGATGATGCTGATGATGATGATGATGATGATGATGATGATTATGATGATGATGACGATGTTGATGATGATGACGATGATGATGCGGTTGATGCTGATGATGGCGATGCTGATGATGATGCTGATGTTGATGATGCTGATGATGATGATGCTGATGATGATGCTGATGATGGTGACGATGCTGATGCTGATGATGATGCGGATGCTGATGCCGCTTCTCCATGATTTTGCTGATGACGATGATGCTTTTGATGCTGCTGATGATGCCGATGATGATTATGATGATGCTGACGGTGATGATGATAGGGATGACAATGATGCTACTGCGGATGATGCTGATGATGATGTTTATGGTGACGATGGTGAGGTTGATGATGCTGAGGTGTGTGCTGATGATGCTGCTGATGCGGGTGTTGCTGATGATGCTCATGCTAGTGATGTTGATGCTGATGCTGCTGCTGACGTTGATGATGCTGCTGATGCGGATGATGGCGATGATGATGAGGATAGGGAGGATGATGAGGAGCAGGAGGAGGAGGAGCAAGATGAGGAGGATGCGGAGGAGTAGGAGGAGGATGAGGAGGACACCGAGGAGGAGGAGGAGGAGGAACGTGATGCGAATCCCACCCGCGCCTGTCAGTTGAAGCGCGCGGGCTCAATGCTGTCTGACGGTACTTCTGACAGGTGTCGGTGAGCGCAGCTAGATAGCGCGCATACATTGTCATTGTTGCTCGTCTCACCGCACCCTCTGAACCACCTTTGGTTTACTATTTTCATGGCAGCCTGAGTTGCCAGCTACACATGTGCTGCCCAGACGGGAAAAAGGAGCAGGGGGAGTGATGAAGCTAGGGATGACGCAGCTGCGTGGTACCAACGCGAATACAAACATATTGCTGACTATCTAATGGCCTTCGGCCCATCTCGCCAATATGCTTGGCTTGTGAGTATGGCTTGCGAGTATGGCGCCTATTGGATGTTCGTTGGGGTCTCGTGGGATGCGTCTCGGGGGCCTCTTGGAGACAGTTTGACGCCTTTTTGGGGCTGTTTCGGGGCCTCCCGACATATACGTATGCATACACATATACATATACATCTACGTAAACATATACACATGCATATACATATATACGTACATACCTATCACAAACGCGTGCACATACATATACACATACATCTACATATGCATGTACATATACAACCACATATACATATACATATGTATGCACATATACATATGCATATACATAAACTTATCCATATGCATATGTGTATTCATTTGTTTATGTACACATATACACACATACACACATATATACATATTTATACATATATACATATATATGTTATATACATATACATGTACAGGTCCTCATACGTTACATTTGCATACCTACATATATACATATTCACACACATAATATACATATACGTAGACATATCACATACATCTACATATGCATCTGCACATACACATGCACGTACACATTCATGTGCATGTAGCCTACTCACACAAACACAGACATACATACATATACATACACATGTACAGAAACATATGCATGCACACATACATCGACATACACATATGCATATGCACACATGTTCATATTGACATTACTAGACATATGCATGCACACACATGCACATACGCATTCACATTTACATTTGCATGCACCTACGCATATATACGTACACACAAACGTACACCTACAATTGCACACGCATATTCACATACGTACATACACATACATTCACATATACATTTTCGTCGACGTTTGCATGTATATATATATATATATACATACACACTCACACATTCCTCTTCCTATGTTTTAATAAGCCCGGGCGGGGGGAAAACCCGTCCCCCCCCCAAAACCGGACTCCCCGGGACTTGGGGCTTTGGGGCCCTCCAGACGGGCCTCGAAGCGGCCACCGGGCCTCGCAAGGCGTTTTGCCAAGCCTTCCCGGCACACTTAGGGCGATCAGGGGGGTCATCGGAGACGTCCCAGAGACCCCCAAGACAGCACAAGAGCGTTCGACCGACGTGTCCTCAAGATGGCCCAAGAGGCCTCCAGGACGGCCTCAAAGAGGCCTCCAAGAGCACTCCCAAGAAGGCCCCCCGAGGCAGAAATCATTAATTTTCGGTGGTTTTTGGTGAATTTTGTGGTTCTCTTTTCGGCTTCCCGACGCTTCACGACGGCGGTCTTCTGGGCGTCCGAAGCCGCCTGGGAGGCTCCCAAATCTCCCCACAACCATCCAAAAGGGCTTCCAGGCAGTCCAAGAGAGCCCCAAAACGGCACAACAAGAAGGAGGAGGAGGAGGAGGATGAGGAGGAGGAGGAGGAGGAGGAGGAGGAGGAGGAGGAACACGACGCGCAAAGGAAAACGGCAAACAGAGACCCACGCAGGTTCCACGGCGGCCCCAGGGGCGCCCAAGACGGCCCAGGGTGGTCAACGACAAGAGGCCCGGACACGGCCCCCAAGGGGCCCGAGCGCGGCCTCCGTCGCCTTCCCACCGAGCCCCCAAACTGGCTGACCAAACGGCCAAACAACGGCCCCCAAGAAGCCTCCGCGAGGCTTCCTTCGACAGCCCTCCTTCTTTGCCCCGTCCAACCCAGCTCCTACCGATCTTGTTTGGTTACCTTACGCCTCTCCCATCTTACTTCGCAGCCGCACCACCATGACAACATCTCCCAATGGTTCACTCTGACTTTCCTGCGGGCTGTGCAGCCTCCTTTGAGGTACCCTAGCAACCTCCACAAGGACCCCTAATGCGGCCCCACACCATCATGTTCACGAGGCCGAAGAGGAGGAGGACGGTCCGCGCCACCCCACCGAACACCCCAATTCAGCGTAGCGTTGCCTGTGGACCCGTTCCCAGCGGAACCGAGGTCGGGCCCCGCCGCCCCGTTGCGGGTGGACCCGGTGTCGAGGGTGCAACCTCCCTCCGCTCTTTGCCGTGGCCTTTCCAGCCGTGGCCCCTCAGCCGCGGTGAGCCGCCTTCGGAACGCGGCAAGGCCCCCGCGCCGCCATTCGCTCCCTCCCACTCCTCTTCCCCTTGTGGAAGAAGAACAGTGGCATCAACATGAACATTCGGAGCTCCGCGAGGATTCCTTGGATCTGCGCTGGACCTCCCTGGCGGCGCCTCCGACGCCGCCCCTGTCGCGCTCCGATCCGTGCAATCCGCGCAGGGCTCCTTATCTATCTGTGTATGTATTTATGTATCTGTTTGTATGTATAAGAGTAATGCTAATCGTAGAAGTAATCGTGCCATTATTATTTTTATTCGTATTAGTATTGTTACTACTATTATCACTGCTGTTATTAATCATAGTACTATTACTAATCCGAATCGTGTTACTACTAAGGATACGACGACGGCTACTACTACTATTATTACTACTACTCTTATTTTTACTACTACCACAACAACAACAACTACTACTACTACTATTACTACTACTACTACTACTACTACTACTACTACTACTACTACTACTACTACTACTACTACCACTACCACTACTACTACTACTACTACTACTACTACTACTACTACTACTACTACTACTACTACTACTACTACTACTACGACTACTACGACTACTACTACTACTACGACTACGACTACGACTACGACTACGACTACTACTACTACTACTACTACGACTAGTTATTATTATCATTATTATTAATACTATTACTACTAATGATAATACGAATGAGCGTGTTTTATTGTTTTTTCCCCCGGCCACTGGCGGGAGGAACACGAAGTACAACATGAGCAAGATCCAGGAGAGCTGGCTGAAGATCATGCGCTCCGCGAAGGCGAAGCAGCTTAAGAAGCAGGCCCGCGCGCGCCCGCCAGGGGGGGCACCCGCGCCCCTCGCGAGCGGCTCCGGGGGCGCAACAGGCGAGGCAGGCTGCCGCCGTCGTGGGGGAGGCTACGGCGAGAGACGCAAGCAGTGGCGAAGCGTCCTGGCTTGCCTGTAGGCTTAGGTCGGGCGTGTCCCTCTACAGGAGGAATATTCAAAAGCAGTTCGCAACTAGTCTGGGGACGATTTTTCGACCATTTCTTGACCATCTTTGAATATTTTTGGACAGTTTGCGATTTTCCGTCCAAAATCCGCCCGCAGGTGGACACGCCCGACCTCACTATAGGCCTACCAGAGAATGTTTTTCCTCGAGCGCAAATCATGGGAGCCTGGTATGCCCTCTACATTTCGTCTTCAGCGTCGGTTAGCGTCAACTAGCGTCTGGGAGTCGGTGAGATAGCGCCGATTTCAGCGCCGATTTAGCGTCGGTGAGCGTCGATTTAGCGTCGATCACCGCCGATTCGCAAGAGCCGACAGGATGGTATAGGAGGCTCCCGTGAATTGCCACCGATGAGTGTTCTAAGAGCCTGCTGTGGTTTGCACGAGATGCTCTGAGAGCAATGATCCTTCGACCCCACCTGCTCGGACCCATCTAGGAGGCCACCGATGAGTGTTCTAAGAGCCTGCTGTGGTTTGCACGAGATGCTCTGAGAGCAATTCTCCTTCGACCCCACCTGCTCGGACCCCAGCCAGGAGGCGCCGCCGAGGCTGGCAGCAGAGCCCCCCCGCGCCAGCTCCTCGCCGTGGCGCGGCGGCGCGGTGCCCGCAGCCATCGGGGGCGGGCTGCGCCCCGATCTCCGCGGGCGCCCGCGGGCGAGGCCGGCCCGGCTCCTCGGAGGCCTCATCGCCGAGGCGGGGGTTTGTACATCACCACCGCCTGGGGGATGGATGCTCGGCGACCTCGGGAGGCGGTGGACGGGGATGTATCGTCGGGCCTCCGGGGTCGCCAAGATGTGCCCACAGCCGCCGCCCACTGAGTGCACGGGGCGTCGGTTCCCAGGCGGTGGCTGCGGATCAATCCCCGCCTCGCATCATCATCCCCACGCTGGCTGAGCTCGGCGGGGCTTCTCGGAAGGCCTCCGGCCTCCCGAGAAGTCTTCTGTGCCTTCGGGGGAGGCCTCGGCAACTTTTCAGAGGCCGGGGGACTTCCGAGCCTTCTAAGAAGGCCCGCCCCTTCCCACTTCCCCTCCTCGCTCGCCGCCGATGAGCACAGCCAGACACTGTGAGCCAGGGTCTCGCGGCCCCGCCCGCATCGCTTGCAGATCTCGTCGGGCAGCACGTAGCCCGCCTCCGCCCGGCGGGCCCTGGGCCACTGCCCGCCAGCCACCACCGAGAGGTTGAGCCCCCCACTCCGACAGCAAGCCCTGGGACTCCATGCGCCGCATCTCGCACGAGGTCTGCCAGAAACCCGCGCCCTCCAGCAGGTCCTCACCCAGCTCATGCACCGAGGCCTGCCTCCACGGCTGTGCCCGAAGACCTGCCTTCACGTCGTCCAGCACAGCCTGGAACTCCGAGGAGGAGGAGGAGGAGGAAGAAGAGGAGGAGGAAGAGTAGGTCAGGGAGGAAGGAAGGAAGGAGATAAGGAAGGAGGAGGAGGAGGAGGAGGAGGAGGAGGAGGAGGAGGAGGAGGAGGAGGAGGAGGAGGAGGCCCCCGCTCCGCTTCGCGCCAGGCGCGGGCGCCCCCAGGAGAGGGGGCGCGCAGTGGCGCGCGCCGCTCCCCGCTCGCGGCGCTCGGCGGGCGCTGCCGCGGCCGGGAGGAGGCGGGAGCCGGCGCCTCCCTGCGCGGCAGGTGGAGATCATCTCGCAGAACCACGAGCGCGACGTGGACCGCAAGGACGCCATCCTCCAGATGCTCGACAGGGACCTGGACGAGGCCGAGGAGCACGCCCCCCCCCCCTCCCCCCGCCCCGCCCCGCGTCTCTCTCTGTCCCTGTCTCTGGCTCTGTCTGTCTCTCTTTCTCTCTCTCTGTGTGTTTGTCTGTCTCTCTCTCTCTCTCTTTCTCTCTTATTTCTCTCTCTCTCTCTCTCTATCTCTCTCTCTCTCTCTCTCCCACGCGCCAACTTTCTCTCTCTCTCTCTCTCTCTCTCCCTCTTTCACTCTCTCCCTCTCTCTCTCTTGATTTCTTTCCCATACATATATGCAATTATAATATATGTTTCACATTTTAGGCATATATATACACATGTATATATGCTGGAAGGGTGGTTGTGGAACTTATGATGATGGTGGGGATTGGTGATGGTAGTGATGGTGATGATTGTGGTCATGCTGCCGATGCTGGTGCTCATGATGGTGCTGGTGATGTTGCGACTGCTGCTGATTATGACGACGATGACGATGGCAGCGTGTATAACGATAGGGTTGGTGACCACGATGACGACGACGGCGATCATGGCTGATGATCGCGCCTTGCTATGTCAGTCGAATCATGCACATGCTGCCGCTGCTGATGACGACGATGATCTCTCCTTGCTGTAGGACAGCCCAGCCATGCATGATATTTTGATGCTGCTGATGAGGATGATAGACTTTCTGGCTTTGTTCAAGAGTGCCAGGGTGTTCTTGCGGGCTCTGGGAAGTACTTGGCCAGTCTATGGTGCGTGCGTTCGAGTGGAGGACAAACACGATGATGACGAGGAATTCGAGGCGGACGGTGAGGCTGGCAATGAGGCTGATGACGATGTTGATAATGATGCTGCGGATGATGATTCAGATGCTGATGCGGATGTTTATGACGATGATGACGAACATGATCATGTTGCCTGCCAGGACAGCGCAGAGCTTTGTCACTCGCGGATCGCGCACGCGTATCGGGCACGGAGAAGACGGTGGTGGAGGACGAGTGAGCGACAGAGAAACGGTGGAGCAAGGAATGCATGCGGTATTCTCAGTAGACGCAGCCTCCTTTTGGATATGCCGTTGTTTCTCGGGGTGGACGCGTATACTTGCGGCAGCTCGCGGTATGTCCTTCCCTCTTCCTCCTCCTTTTCCAAGTCAGGTTCTAGATGATACAAGCCTCCGTGTGGATAAACAGAGGAAGTTTGAGCTGGATGAGCGAATGAGGTAGGATACATCCGTGTCGACTGCAAGTCCGATCCTCTCCCCTTCGTAGACGAACGCTTGAACCAAGAGCCTCCCTCCTCCCCATTCCACTCGCCAGACCTGTCCTGGAGCGCGCTCCGACCACAATTCCGAGGCGGATGCAGCCTTTGCGGCAAGGGTCTCCCAGGGGTCAATTACATGTAAGGACCGGTCTCACCCTTCATATTCTTCTTCTCCTCCTCCTCCTCCTCCTTCCTTATTTCCTTCCTTGCTTCCTGACCTACTCTTCCTCCTCGTCTTCTTCTCCTTCTTCTTCTTCTTCTTCTTCCTCCTCCTCCTCCTCCTCCTCCTCATCCCCATCCCCCTCCCCCTCCACCTCCGCCTCCCCCCCCTCCTGCTGCTCCTCCTCCTCCTCCTCCTCCTCCTCATCCCACCCCCTCCCCTCTGTGCCCAGCGTGGAAACGGCCGAAGGAGCAGCACCAGGTGGCCGTGCGAAGCCACCTGCTCAACGTGGACAGGCTTCTGGAGATCCAGAACAGCAGGCCTCGGGCTGGACGAGGGAGCTTCCGAGTCTCGAGCCCAGAGCTCCGACGATGTGATCTTCTGGATGCGGGCGTTCTCCCTCGATTTTTCGGCTCCTGGGTCGTGCTGACGGGGCCCGGGGCCATCGGAGTGGATCCAGGACGAGCACCTGGCCCGGTGGAAAGGGTTTGGACCTCTGGGTCATGTGGAAAGGGTGGAGAGGGTGTTGTCCGCGCATTGGAAACGTGGAGATCCTCGAAACATTTGGCCCTGTGGAAGCATTCTTGGCCCTGTGGAAAGGGTGTGGCCCGCGCATTGGAAACATGATTGCGCCCTTGCGGCAGGAGACCCCGGGCAGCTTTGAAACAGGGGCCAGCGCGAGTGGCATAGACGAAGGCACTGGGAGGCCACGGGAGGGCACGGGAGACCAGGGGAGGCCGCGGGAGACCGCGGGAGACTACGGGAGACCAAGGCGCTCGACATCCGACGCTCCCCGTGCCAGGTCTCGTGGAAGACATATTTTGGACCCCTGCAGACTTCTTCGTAAGCGGCGAGGCGTCGAAATCCGCACCGGCGTAACAGCCAGGTAGGGGCACTAGCTAGCGAACTGGCCGGCATGCAGGGAGGGAGGGAGGGGGGAGGCCGACGAGGAAGGAGGGACGCTCAGACGCCGAAGGATTCGACGATGAGCAGCCGGCGGGCGGCAGACCCTTGCAGACAAGCTGTTTAGGGAATGTCGTCGGGTGTTTGGGAACTTCGAGCTGCTGAAACGATAACAGGCCGACCTCAGGGCCCTGCAGACGCTTCAGAGGCGTCCTCCGACCCTGCGCTCCCTGCCCTGCCTCACAGCTATGCAGCTTGCCTGCAGCTCGAGAGCACTGCACATCAAACATCGAGGGTTTGAAGCGGGTGCTCATACATAACCACCGCCCGGGGGATCAACCTTCGGGACCTCGGCAGGCGGTGGATATGGACAGCTTCGGACCCCCTGGGGCCAACGCGCATCCCTGTCCACTGCCCGCTGGGGTCCCAGGGCGTCGGTTCCAGGGGCGGTGGATATGAAAATATCCCCGCCTCGCAGAGAGGAGTACACCTTAGGCGATGCTTAAGAAAACCTAAGTTTTCGGCCAGAGTCTCGATTATTCTTAACGCTTCAATGTGAATCCTAAGATTTGAATGGGAACTTTAGGTTTTTATTCAAGTTCTGAGACTATGAATTTCTTAACCCATGCTTTCTTAAGCATTTCGCAGGGTGTACCAGGCTTCGAGGGCCGATCTTTTCGTGCGTGGATGGCGCCCCTCTGGGCCTCCGGAGGCCTCCAGGGAGCTCTAGGGCGACCCGCGGAGTCCCCGTGCCCGGATGGGGTCACGCTGGCCCAGGGTCGCTCTTGCTTGCGGCCAAGTCGAAGATCATCGGCGGCGCGCGCAAGGGGGTACGGGGGAGGGGAGGGAGGCTTCTTAGAAGCAGGCTGCTTCTAAGAAGGCGCCGGCCCGACATCTACAGAGAAGGCCCGCGCCTTCTGAGGAGCAGGGGCGCTTCCGGAAAGCCTTCCCCCCTCCCCCTGCCCCCCTTCTGCGCGTGGCCGAGATCGGGGGCAACGACAGGGGGGGGTGACCTGGCCCAGGTGGAAGCATCGACCCCCAGTCGCCCATTCGTCGTCCCTTCCGCCTCTCCCGTCGCCCGCGGGGGCTGTCGGGGGGGCCCCGGGGGCGTCGAAGATCGAGGCCGCCCAGGGTGCTTCCACATCGGGCTGTTCTTGTCGAAGGTTTTCGGTGGTTGTGTGTGTGTGTGAAGTCCGCTCATATCACCACTATGTCCTTTATCTACCACCGACGTCTCGGCTCAGGTATTGGTACCAAGCATCGCGGTGCTTCTCCTGCAGCGCACTGGAAGAGGATTCGCGACCCTCTTCCTTTCCTACCTCTACCTACGGGAAACGCCGTAGGTTCGACTCTTCGGCCGTTAATCAGGAGGGCTAGAAACACACATACACAATTCATCGTCGGCTCCCAGGAAAATGTGGGGAAATATGGGCAGCGGGGGGAAAGGCAGAGAAACCCAGACAATACAGACAAACACATGGGGGATCGTTTCATTCGTGTATACTGTATACTTATTTGTGTGTCCCAGGGCCCCTTTCAGTTAACCTGCACGCACAGCGGCTCTCTGGGCCCAGGGCGACCTCCGTCAGCTGCGCCTCGTCGAGAGAGCACGTCTGGGGGGCGGGTGCCGGGAGCGTGCCGCACGGCCGCCCCGAGGCCCGAGCTGCGGCCCGAAGGCCGACACAGCCCAGGCCCCCCCCCCCCCCCGAATTCGGGTCGGAGTGGACGGGGGGCCTCCTCCTCCTCCTCCTCCTCCTCCTCCTCCTCCTCTCCTCCTCCCTCCTCCTCCCCCTCCCCCTCCCCCTCCTCCTCCTCCTCCTCCTCCTCGGGTGGCTCTCCTCGGAGGCTTTCGGTGGTCCTCTGTGCCCAGGGCGATCTCCAGCTGCGCCTCGTCGAGAGCGCTTGGGGGGGGGGGGGGCAGAAGCGTGCCAAACGGCCGCCCGAGGCCCGAGCTGTGGCCCGAAAGCCGACCGCCCACGCCTCCCCAAGGGGGTCGGAGTGGACGGGGGCGGAGGATCGCGCCGCATCGCCGAGGCATCGGCGGTGCGGCGCGGTGTGGAGCCCGATTTGCTTCACGCCGACGTTGCCCATGCACCGCCGACGTCGACGACGGATGCATCGTCGACGACGTCGGCGATGCGGCGCGATCCTCCGATCCCATCTACTCGGACCCCACCTAGGAGGCCTCTAGCGGAGGATCGCGCCGCATCGCCGATGCTTCGGCGATGCGGCGCATCCCCGAGTCAGTTTTTTCCCACCCCGACGTCGCCGGTGATTCGCCGAGGCACGAGTGATGCGGTGGTCCAGGCGCTTGCTGGATGGGGCTCAGCCTTCTGGGGGTCAGGAGAAGGTGGGCTCAATGCCTGCCTGATTTTCTGGACATGGGGCAGTACTTGTCCTAAGCGTGGTGCTTTCCCTTGACATTCCATTGGGTCCCCCTTCCCCCCAGGGCATCAGTTTCTTGAAACGTGTTCGTTTCCCCATTGCTTGTTGCTTGGCTTCTTTTGCCCCCAGAGGTGTCGGCCCCTTTGGCAGGCGAGTGAGCGTTAGGACCAGGTGTGTGTGTGTGTGTGTGTGCGTGCGTGTGGATGGCACCGCTGCGGCCGTGAAGTCTCCCAGATTGCATGGCCCCCTCTTCTTTTTCTTCTTCCAGCCCCCCCCCTTTCGTAGACCCCTCCTCCTCATCCTCCTCTGCGCATCGGGGAAGGCGACCGCGCGCCTAGACTTCGAGAGCTGTTCGAGGACGTCCGCACGTCAGCAATCACACGCGAGCCTTGCCCTTGATGGTGCAAGCTGCCCTGGGTGTCCCATGCTCCCGCAGAGGGTCCGCTCTGCCCAAGGCCCCCTCGATTTCCGACCCCACCCGCGCTTGTTTCCTAACGTGAATCATTATGCGTGGGGTATGCTGGATCATGTGATGGGCGTGGGTGTGTGCGGATCGCCGGGGGGAGATGCGCTGGGGGTTCGGCTGTGCTTCGCGAGCCCCAAGGGTGGGAGGGGTAGATTGCGAGGGGGGAGGGCTCAGCGCGCGCGCGCGGTGTTTTTTTTTTTTTGTGTGTGTGTGTGTGTGTTTGTGCGCTGCGACCTCCGCGTGGGATGCCCCGTGGCAGTGCTCCTTCCTCCCCGCCATCCCCGCCTGGATGGCTATGTGCTGCCCCCCGCCCAGGTGGCACGTGCGGCGATCCAAAGTGATCCCGACAGGGCTCAGCCGCGCGCGTCCGTTCACACAGCTACGTCTTACTTCGCCCCGTCGCCGCGCGCGAGGCCGCGACCGCCGTTATGCATATATATATATATATAGATATACACCTTTATGCAGGTATCTATGCATGGATGCATGCATGCATGCATGTATATATATAGATACGTATGTATGCATTTTTTTCGTATGTATGCATTTAGGTTTACACGTACGTACTTACGTACGCACATCTATACACATACTTTTTATGTTTATCCATATGTGTATATATATGTCTATATGTACACATGTATGGCTGTATGTTTGTATGTTTGTATGTATGCATGTATGTATGTATGTGTGTATGTATGTATGTATGAATGTACGTATGTGTGTTTGGATGTGTGTAGGTATGCGTGTATGTCTGCGTGCATGCATGCATTTCTGTATACGTGCATGCATGCTGGCATATACGTAGGTACGTATGCACGTATGTACGCATGTACGCATGTAACTGTGCACGTATGTGTGTGTGTATGTGTGTGTGTGCACGTCTGTATGCATGTATGTGTGTATGTAGGTATGTGTGTATGCCTGTACGCATGTGTGCATGTACGCATGCACGTGTGTCGGCATGCCTCTATGTATGCATGACTGTATGCATGTATGCATGCTTATTTGTATACATGTCGGCGTGTGTCTGCATGTGCGTATGTTTGTATGTATGTTTACATGTATGCAGGTATGCATATATGTAAGTCTGTATGTATACATGTGCGTACGCATATATGCATGTACGCACGCACGTGTGTAGGTAGATCGGCGTACATACATGCATGCATGCATGTCTGCATTTGTACATGTATATGTACATGTTTATGTATTTGTATATGTGTCTGCACAGATACCCGCAACCGTATATGTATACGTATATGATTATGTAGCTGTATGTGTACACGTATATGTGTTTGTAATGTTTATTCATGTGTACATGTATTCCAAGATGAACACGTATACACAGGTATCAGTTCAAATATGTATGCATACACACATTTATATATGCACACGCACCTGTCTATGCATATATGTATGCAGAGATGTATGTTTATGCAACTGTATATGCGTGTATATATATATGTATACACGTACACATACGTGTATGCGTTTGTATTTGCTTTCAGATGTATAGGTGTGCATATGTGTATACATGTATGCGTGTAAACATACTTGCATGCATGTGTGCATGCATGTCCGTATGCATGCATGCATGCATGCATGCATGCATGCATGCATGTATGTATGTATGTATGTATGTATGTATGTATGTATGTATGTATGTCTGCAGGTGCGTGTGTGTGCATGTCTGTATGCATGCATGTACGTATGTGCGTATGTATGTATGCATGTATGTATGCATGTACGTGTGTGTATATATAGTTTTGAATCCATGTCTAGTTGTACTGTATATATATGTATACATATGTATATCTACATGTATAATTATGCATATACAATATACAATATATATATATAGTATATATGCGTGTGTGTATGTGTGTCTGTGTGTGTGTGCGTGTTGGAGGGGTCAGGTGCTGGCCGTCGGGCGTGCATGGGTGTGTGTGCCACGGGCGGCGCGGGCCTCTCTCCGCCCCTCTCCGCTGCGGCGGCTCGCGGGGGCCACCCCTCCGCGCGCGCCGCGGGCGGCGCTCGAGCGCAGGCGCGGCGGAGGGGCTCCCGCAGGCCGCGCCGGATGCCCGCGGCGGCGCTCGCCGCGGCGCGGCTGGCCGTGCTGGCGCTGCTCTGCCCGCCGCGGGGGCGCGCGGCGGCGGGGGCCTCGTCGGCGGAGGGCGGCGGCGGCTGTGGGGGCCGCGGCGGCGGCCCGTGCGCGGAGCAGCTGCAGCACGTGCTGCTGACGGAGGGCAGCTACTGGACCTCGGGGGGGGAGCAGGTGCCGATGCCGCTGCTCGTCCTGGAGAGCCCCCGCTGCCACGGCCAGAGTCGCCTCGAGGTCCTGGTCAGAGCACGCCCGGGCGCAGGTCCGGGGAGGAGCGGCATCGGGAGGACCGAGGGCGTCGGCGCGAAGTGGCGCACGGTGAAGTATGGGCTGTGGCTGGCGCTGCGGGCCAGCGGGCGGGGAGATTTGCACACGCCCTCGGCCCCTGGCCAGGCCCATCCTGCGCCTGGCCAGGGGCAGTGGACGACGGCCGAGAAGACCGCGACGAAGGGGCCCCCCGATGCCTGGGGCAGAGGGCCGCCAGCCGTGGCCCTCCGAGTTCCTGGAGGGCGGCATCGGGGAGAGGCGGGCGTGCAGAGATCTCGCCGCCCCAGGTCAACTACCTGCTCAGGGCACGCGGCGTCGAGAACGCCACCCTGGCCTGGCTGCCCAACCCGGCCGAGATGCAGAACCCGCAGGCGGGCGCCCCCTCGATGATGGGCGGGCTGGGCATCCTGCAGCCCACCGCGCCGCCGCCGGCGCTGACAGGGAAGACGCCGCAGTGGCTGCACGGCGAGATCGACGCAGGCGCCTACCAGAGGGTGGTCGGGGGCAGGAACGCGACCATGAAACTGTGTTCGCAGACGCCACCGCGCACATGGTGGTGGCCACTCTCTTGGACAGGTTCGCGAGCGCGAGACGTGCGACAAAAGATGTACACCCCAGACGTGCGATGTTTTTTGGTGGTGTACAAGAAACGGTCCCCCAGCCTTTCCCTTGGGTCGGTTTTCCATACCCAGGTCGTGTTTCGACGACCCCGGGGCCAGGCGAGGGCCCTTGGGCCCATTCTTTCTCTGGCATTTTTCATGGTGTCAACATCGCAGAGCGGATTTCGTTCGGGAAACAATGAGATGGGCCCAGGTTGTCCTGGAGAATTCGGTTTGGATTTCGAAGTTAATTTCGCGTGGATTTTTTGGTCAGGCATGAAATCTACAACACATCCACGTGAAATTCACTTCGTTTTTCACCCGCCGTCTCGGGATTTTAGCTGACAGAAATCCGCGGAACAAAAAAAAAAACCCGCTGTGGCACGTCTGCAAGCTCGGTGCCGTGACGTCGTCCGAGCCTGATCGATCTGCGAGAGTCTTGCGGCTCGAAATCGGACGAACACGCGCATAAGGTGAACAGAGATATCCCGAGGGAGAACAACGCGATACTTAAGTCGGGCCTGTCCCTCTACAGGAGGAGGATTCAAACATAGTCAAACAAACACTATGGGGGCGTTTCTTTCATTCTTTTGAGGTATTGTTTAGTTTTTTTCTGGTATTATTATTTTTTCGCCCAAAATCCGCCTGTAGGGGGACATGCCCGACCTAACGCGATACATGTAAACTTTCGACGCTCCGCGCGGATTTCTTAGATCCGCGCTGGGCCCCCCCTGGCGGCGCCTTCCTGCGCCGCCCCTGCCGCGCTCCGCACGCCAGGGAGGGGGGATCCAGCGCAGAGCTGAGAACTCCGCGCGGAGCGCCGAAAGTTTACGTTTATGGCGTTCGTTCTCCTTCTCCTGCCACGGCGCCCACTTGTGAGAGTGTGCCTGCGGCTCCCAGGTGGCGCTGGGCTTCCGCATGCCGGGGCCCGCGGACGACTCGCTGGAGCGGGCCGTGCTGGAGCGCGTGCTGGCCTCTGCGGGACCCGGGCCCGCCGTGCCGCTGGCCTTCGTGCTGGCGGGCACGCCCCCCGAGCCCATGCACTGGCGCTCCGCCGGGGGAAAAGGGGGCACCGACACCCCGGAGCTGGCTGGGGGGCTGAGGTCTGGGCCTCCCAGTAAAACAGGGCTAGGATCGGGATACATCTCTCCAGAGCGTTCCGGAGCGCTCTCAGAGCGTTCCGGAACGCTCTGGAGCGGCCGCGGCGCCCAATACATGCTCCAAACCCGCCGAGTCTCAGAGATTTCGAGTTATCCCGATCCGATTTTGTCCCGATCTTCGTGTCGTTTTACCCAGGTGGGGTGGAAGGTCGAGGCCGCCCGGGGGCCTCCCGGGCCGGGTTGCCCTTCTCGGAGGTCTTCGGCGGTTCTCTGGGCCCAGGGCGATCTCCATCAGCTGCGCCTCGTCGAGAGCGCTCTTGTGGGGGGGGGGCAGAAGCGTGCCAAACGGCCGCCTGAGGCCCGAGCTGTGGTCCGAAAGCCGACAGTCCACGCTTCCCCAATGGGGTCGGACTGGACGGGGTCGGAGGATCGCGCCGCATCGCCGATGCATCGCCGATGCGGCCCGATGTGGAGCCCGATTTGCTTCACGTCGACGTCGCCCATGCACCGCCGACGTCGACGACGGATGCATCGTCGACGACGTCGGCGATGCGGCGCGATCCTCCGATCCCATCTACTCGGACCCCACCTAGGAGGCCTCTAGCGGAGGTCCGGCCCCATTTGGGACGACAAGTTCGAGGTTGGAGGTTCGAGGTTTTCAAATGTCGTGGTTGGTTCTCGGCGGTTTTCTGGCCCTTTTGGTAGCAGATCATGGGAGCCTTGTGTGGTAGTTCTGTTTTTAGAGTGCAGTCGCGAGCGCTAGCGTCTGGTAATCAATGAGAACATTCTGATTTAGCGTCAGCTAGCGTCGATTTCGCGGCGACTCAGCGTCGGCTAGCATCGATTCAGTATCGACTAGCGTCGATTTGCGCCGATCCGCAAGAGCCAACGATATGGCATCGGGGGCCCTCCGTGAGGTGCCGCCGAAGTTCGGTTGGCGTGAGTCGAAGAGCAGAAGGCGACATACACTGTACAGGCGGCCGGAATTGGTAGGTCGACTCTGCCAGCTTAAGGGTACCCTTCTGTCATGTGCCTCGCGACACGTGCCTTCTTCCACTCCTATGGCGATGTGGCCTTCGGAAGGGTCCTGTGTCCTCTCGCGTGTCCTGTCCACTCGAGTCCGACTGTACAGAACTTTTCGGAGGTCTGCGTGTACTTCTTGGATCGGCGCGGCGGGGCCCCCTGGCGGCGCCTCCGGCGCCGCCCGCGGCGCGCGCTCCACGCGCCAGGAAAACGGGGCGTCCGGCGCCGATCCCAGAAGTCCACGCGGACCTCCGCTCCTCTTCCTCCCCCTCCTCCT